GCCCATCTCATTCTTCTCAACTTAATCACCCTGACATTATAGATTCAGCATAACAATGTAAAACAAATACAAAGAAAATGGAAATGGAACATAACTGAGTAGGTTTTCACGGCGGTGAATACGAACATGGCTACCTTCTGAGCTGTTGCGCCGTGTAGCATGTCACCCTGATGATGGAGGCAGCAAGGACCTCTGAAACGTTCATGAACTTCTACCAGACTACATGGCGCTATAATTTATTAAAAAAATTATTTGCACATAATTACATCAAATACAAAATGGTCACTTAATTCTTAAATACAACAATTTTTAAGTTACTCTCATGTTATCTTACTGGTTATAAAACAATAAAATATGTAGCAAAAGTAAAACAGGGTAAATTTCAATGTAAAAACAACTTTTCCATGTCAATGTCTTACATTTAATTCATAGCTTCCACATATGCAAACATTGCGAGGTTATTAACTTTAATACAATCAAGCAACGTCTGCTTATCGTCTTCACTGAAATCGCGCCAAGTATTCATATTCCCCAAAAAAGTCAAATAGTCACACTTCTGTATCAACAGCATGGCCGTGTCTAATTTAAGATGCCCACAAAAAGCGAGAACAATTTTAGTGAGTTTTCTAAAGCCACCGGCATTTAAAATTGCAGAAATAATTGCATGATCCACTTCTGCAACATGGTGAGCATGGAACACTTCCAAATTAACGTAATGTACCAGGTACTTGTGGAAATCTCTGAAATCTTGGTTTTTTGAAAGAATAATTTCATTCACGCTTGTAAAATGTGGCAATTCCGGAGATAAACTGAAATTTTCCGGCGTTATAACTCGACAATATCTGAGGTCGAGAATTTTCAACACGGAACAAGAAGTAATTATTTGAACAATATCAACATTCGCGACTTGAATCATAATTAATCTTGTAAGTCTAATGCCCATGTTTTCAATTACGGTGCCCATGTTAGTAGTGTTATAATTGCATGGAGATAATTCCAAAACCACTAAGTCAGACAAATTTACCAGCTCCGAACAATTACGACTTTGTAAATAACTCAGCGGTCTCTTCCCTTCAGGTTTCCCAATCAATAACCGGTGCACAATTCTTGTACCATCCAGGCGTGCTACATGCCCCGCCCATCTCATTCTTCTCAACTTAATCACCCTGACAACATACAGTCAGCATAACAATGTAAAACAAATACGAAGAAAATGGAAATGGATAAATAACTGAGTAGGTTTTCACGGCGGTGAATACGAAGATGGCTACCTTCTGAGCTGTGGCGCCGTGTAGCATGTCACCCTGATGATGGAGGCAGCAAGGACCTCTGAAACGTTCATGAACTTCTACCAGACTACATGGCGCTATAATTTATTAAAAAAATTATTTGCACATAATTACATCAAATACAAAATGGTCACTTAATTCTTAAATACAACAATTTTTAAGTTACTCTCATGTTATCTTACTGGTTATAAAACAATAAAATATGTAGCAAAAGTAAAACAGGGTAAATTTCAATGTAAAAACAACTTTTCCATGTCAATGTCTTACATTTAATTCATAGCTTCCACATATGCAAACATTGCGAGGTTATTAACTTTAATACAATCAAGCAACGTCTGCTTATCGTCTTCACTGAAATCGCGCCAAGTAGTCATGTTCCCCAAAAAACTCAAATTGTCACACTTCTGTATCAACAGCATGGCCGTGTCTAATTTAAGATGCCCACAAAAAGCGAGAACAATTTTAGTGAGTTTTCTAAAGCCACCGGCATTTAAAATTGCAGAAATAATTGCATGATCCACTTCTGCAACATGGTGAGCATGGAACACTTCCAAATTAACGTAATGTACCAGGTACTTGTGGAAATCTCTGAAATCTTGGTTTTTTGAAAGAATAATTTCATTCACGCTTGTAAAATGTGGCAATTCCGGAGATAAACTGAAATTTTCCGGCGTTATAACTCGACAATATCTGAGGTCGAGAATTTTCAACACGGAACAAGAAGTAATTATTTGAACAATATCAACATTCGCGACTTGAATCATAATTAATCTTGTAAGTCTAATGCCCATGTTTTCAATTACGGTGCCCATGTTAGTAGTGTTATAATTGCATGGAGATAATTCCAAAACCACTAAGTCAGACAAATTTACCAGCTCCGAACAATTACGACTTTGTAAATAAACTGCCAAGGTTTTGACATGTGGACACATTCTTACCAATAAGGATGCATCTGTAACTACACCACTGAACTCTGAACTTCTACCAGACTACATGGCGCTATAATTTATTAAAAAAATTATTTGCACATAATTACATCAAGTACAAAATGGTCACTTAATTCTTAAATACAACAATTTTTAAGTTACTCTCATGTTATGTTACTGGTTATAGAACAATAAAATATGTAGCAAATGTAAAACAGGGTAAATTTCAATGTAAAAATATCTTTTCCGTGTCAATATCTTACATCTAAATTCTTATCTTCCACATATGCAATCAATGCGAGGTTATTAACTTTAATACAATCAAGCAACGTCTGCTTATCGTCTTCACTGAAATCGCGCCAAGTAGTCATGTTCCCCAAAAAACTCAAATTGTCACACTTCTGTATCAACAGCATGGCCGTGTCTAATTTAAGATGCCCACAAAAAGCGAGAACAATTTTAGTGAGTTTTCTAAAGCCACCGGCATTTAAAATTGCAGAAATAATTGCATGATCCACTTCTGCAACATGGTGAGCATGGAACACTTCCAAATTAACGTAATGTACCAGGTACTTGTGGAAATCTCTGAAATCTTGGTTTTTTGAAAGAATAATTTCATTCACGCTTGTAAAATGTGGCAATTCCGGAGATAAACTGAAATTTTCCGGCGTTATAACTCGACAATATCTGAGGTCGAGAATTTTCAACACGGAACAAGAAGTAATTATTTGAACAATATCAACATTCGCGACTTGAATCATAATTAATCTTGTAAGTCTAATGCCCATGTTTTCAATTACGGTGCCCATGTTAGTAGTGTTATAATTGCATGGAGATAATTCCAAAACCACTAAGTCAGACAAATTTACCAGCTCCGAACAATTACGACTTTGTAAATAAACTGCCAAGGTTTTGACATGTGGACACATTCTTACCAATAAGGATGCATCTGTAACTACACCACTGAACTCATTTATTAAAGGAAGAGATGCCCTAGTAATATATCTAAAGACATCATCCGCTCGACCTTTCCAAAAAAAACTCTGAATTCGTGGCAATCTTGAAAGGAGCAGAGCATAACTTTTCTCGGAAATACCAGTTCCTCCCACATTGAGTATCTCCAAACTCTCCATATTCAGTAAATCCTCTACACAATTATTAGTAACATTTATAGAACAGGCGACGTCAAGTTTCCTGAGCAATCTGCAATTTCTCGCCAACACCGCTATTATACGTGTTGTGCAAGTAAACTTCCATATAATTTCTTGCAGCATTGTCAATTTGGGGAGCTCGTCATAAATTATCTGTGAGACTGGATTACTTGTGTTATCTGGAAGAATCAAACGAGTGATATGTGTAATTGTATGAAGCGATTGCGACATTAATCCATGTACGAATTCGGACCCAAACTTCTTGATGTTACACTCTTCTAAGCAAGGCAGAAACACATTTCTGAGCATATACATACAGACTTCTTCGTACTGATTTCTCCATGGCACGGTACCTTCTCGGGAGTGACCTGGGATATCATTGTCTTCAATAATGATTTACCAGCTCCAAACAATTTTGACTTTCTAAACTGACTGCCAAGGCAAATTGAAATTTTCCGGCGTTATAACTCGACAATATCTGAGGTCGAGAATTTTCAACACAGAACAAAAAGTAATTATTTGAATAATATCAACATTCGCGACATGAAACATAACTAATTTTGTAAGTCTAATGCCCATGTTTTTAATTACGGTGCTCTTAGCATCCTGCCGTCTGACTCCTGCAGCGAAGTCAGCACTTTTCGCAGTTCAAGGCACTGACTCCGTACAGCGTGAATGACTCGTAGTCTATCTCCGGTTTCACGCCTTTCAGCCTTGCGAAGTTTCTTAGTCCATATTAAAATCCGACATACTATCAGTCTGCAGATCTTCCGTTGAGTAAGTCTTATCAGACATTTAGGACTCTTCTTGTTGTTCATTGCGATTTCTGAAAGAATTAAACTCCTCATAAAACTGTTCACAAGTTGTCATGCACATGTGAGCCATTAAAATGTAACATATTTATAATACAAAGTAACGAATTGTCTGCACTAACCAACGCCCTCAATGTAGATGGAACAGCCGAGTTACTACAATGTTCATTCTCATAATAATATTAAATAGATGTAGTATACTATTTTATGCACAAATATCCATTTATTGCCGAAGCAACGTTTTAAACCTTTAGGAAATTAAAACCTGTCACGTGCAGTCTACTTTATCTCATATTGAATTCTCATGTAACTTTGCCAGTGATTTAGTCACTATTCGCTACATGTAAAATTTGTCGAAGTTCTCAAAATCGCGAGACACTTGACATGTATATGACATGCTTATAAGAAACACCCTTTTTATAGAAAAAATATTAAATGTGTCATAATTTAAATCATATACCTAGCTAGTTCTTCATATTTTTATTATATATTGATCAAGATATTTTTATATGAATGAATAGTTCTACTCAGTTCATTATTAACTTCTATTTAACGATATAGAAGACAAATTAATACAACATGTCAAGACAAAAGAATATACCGTTCGTTAAAATATCTACCTTTTTATTGACCAACAAAAACAATTCAGTGATTTAAAAACTCTCGGCATAGCATAATTCAATTCATGTAAATATATTTCCTAATAATTTATTATAAAACGTTTGAATTTATTACCAGACTTGTTTTACATTAACAGAACTCTTATAGTTCAAACTTTCTTTCCTTTTATGAAGAATAGCCATATTACTTCCAAGACCTTTTCCCTATTAACTCGTTATTAAACAGGGGTTATACAGTGCGCCTGCATTCAACACACATGAAAGATATAATGTTAATTTCTCTTCCTGTTACCTCTTAAACCGTGCACTGAGAATGAAGGTCGTTTCTGTCGTACAGAGGTATCCTGATGATTAAGAAATCGTGTTCATTTCGGAATAATTTATAAAACTTCATGAATTTTTTTAGTTATTTAGTGTTATATGATTCTGAATGGTATCGAAATATTATTTACAATTAAACTAGATCTCATTTAAAATGAAACACTTTGTGCTCTCGTGATTAATTTTAACAGACTTACAAATTCTTTACACTGCATGAACGAGACGACTTACCACGGCAGAGAGCTGCAACTTCCAATCCGACAAGTAATCGACTGACACTGTGATTGGCTGGTGACGGGGTGACTACAGCCATTTGCATTGCCACTGTACGAGAAATATATTTACCTCGAAAGAAAGTTTGTGTCACTAATTTACCAAAAAAATAAAAAAAAAATTCTGACAGATTTTATTATAGCCAATGTGGGCGCGGGGTGGGCGGAATGCTGGAAATTGTCCAAATGGCGCACAAAACGAAGGTTTTTTAAAAATTATCCAAAAATTTCAACAAATTTTGGTTTTGTGAATACGAAGATGGCTACCTTCTGAGCTGTGGTGCCGTGTAGCATGTTATCCTGATGATGGAGGCAGCAAGGATCTCTGAAACGTTCATGAACTTCTACCGGACTACATGGCGTTATAACCCAGAAGACAACCATATTCGAAACATAACTATATTCATAGTATTTTTTATTTATTTAGTGTTCTGTCTGACGACAGGTCCATATGAACAGGATCCTTCCATCCGTTTCTCGGACTGGGACCTGTTCATATACGTTCTTGGCAGATGATCCAGAAGTGGTTTGCCGTTGCCTTCTTCTGTGTGTGAATGGAGTAATTGTTGGGATGCCACGGAGAAACCGGGGAAGCCCCCGGAGGAAAACTCCGTGTTGCCTAGACCACCGCCTTACCCAACACAAGTTATAAATTCGGGCACCGCCGGGAATCGAACCCGAGACCACAGGATTACAAGGCCAGCGTTCTAACCGCGCTACGTAAAAGTTACCAATACAAGAAGTGTTACTTAAAGTAGTCTCTGATAGACCTAGTGGGTGTTAATGAATTCTAACAGAACATTCGACTGAGATTTGACTACACAATCCAGAAACGCACAATCGACATTTAAAACAACAAGTGCAATGTTCTCGGAGAAAAGTTAGGAAGACCTACGAAAAATTGACCAGTTTTCAGTAAAAGTAGTTTCTTTATGAGAAACAGGGTTATTTACAAATTTCCACTATTACAAAATCAAAGCCGTTATATAATTTTGGAGTTTTAATGTCTCAGAATGCAGTTTGAGTTCTGAAACGGATATGGGAGGTTGACATCGAAACTGTAAAAGGGAAATATTATGTTCGCATTTGGTCGTAAGCTGTGTGAGGCACGACAGTTACGTTAACTGACTCAGACAGACAGTGAGTAACATTTAACGTGCTTACTCATTATACAATAATTCGTAAGGATATCACAACTGTTAGCGATCTAGCTTTGTCTTTGCATCTGTTGAACCTGAAGGTATTAAAAACTGCAGCTAACATTAAAGGAGATTATTTTTCGAAATGTTAAGGTTCTTTTGTGGCAATTACGTCAGTGAAATATTCATCTGTAGCACGAATTTTCAAAACACCGGACAAATTAAGTGTTTATCAATATCTTCCTTCCAAATATGGAATGCATTTCGGCTGTTGCTTGGAGCAGTAAACGTGGTCTGCTAAATATCCTTTATAAATTTGGATTTTCCTTTGTTTTGAGACTAAGGATGCTTTACAAATTTTACATATGCTACGATAACCATGACTCTGATGTAAGATTGCTTGCCATTTTAATATTTTACCACTCTCTTGCAGTTTTAAGAGCATAATTTGTAGTCCACTCTAAACCAGGTAATATTAGGGAGATGAAATCAAGATAAATATGGAACAAATTAGAAATGCATACATTATTGGGACGAAAAATTTAATTTCATTTAGACATACAAACACGCGGTAGTATAATATTAAAATTATTTTAAAGAAATAAGATGTGGACTTTACTGAACTGACGCAGAAAATATCTAAAAATATATAAAATATATAAAATGGCTGGCTCTTGTGAACAATGTATGAAATTTCGTGTTCTATAAAAATAGGCGGATATCGAGACAGCCAAGTGATTATTTGAGCTCATCAAGAAGTGTCTTGACAAATGTTAGTATTAGGGAAATAAATATCGTATTTTTAATTTGTGTTAAAATAAAGTACCAATTCCAAATTTGGCGTACAAACTAAATTTATTAGGATATCAGGTTCTCAAGGCGAAGAATATTTAGATGGCAGTGTTCTGGGTTGTAGCGCTAGTACTTGCTGCCTCCTATCATTGCCCTAATGATAAAAGCAGCAAGTACGTCTGAAACGTCGGCAAACTTCTACCACACTACACGGCACTGCAATCTACAAGACAGCCATTTTCAGGCTAAATTCATATTTCATGGCAGCATTACTTCTTTAAGACACCTGAGAGAAAAGGGGAAAGTTTCTCAGATCCGGACCAACCCCAATATGAAAGGATGGAAAACGTCGACTCTCAGCACGAGAATTACTGATCCCAGACGTTATGCAACGAACACTCCCCACTGTTCTCCCCCTTCTTCGGGCCATCGAATCCACCCTCACCCTTTCGCAAGATTCCTACGACGCAAGGGTGACCAACATGAAGCTGTCATCCTCACATGTTTCTGCATTACATTCACGTGAGTGCACAGCATTGATGTCAGTGACTGGCATTACTTGTTTAAAGGTCACTGGTCACAATTTCAGCTCACAGACAGACAGACAGACAGACAGACAGACAGTTTATTGCGTGATTCTCCACAGTTTCTCAAAGCAAAACCTATTACAGTGACTAAAAAAGTCAATAATTAAACATGAAGGTAATTGAGCCGTGTTGTCTGGTAGAAGTTGATCGACGTTTCAGAGTATTCCAGCATGCTGGTGATTGATTATTTGCAGCCATTTTCAAACTTATCAATGTAAGAAATTGAAATATCAACTTCCTTTCCACGTATTTCCCTCTTGGTAATTCACTGAGAGTCTGTCAGTAGGCGATATAACCTACTCAGTTGAACAAGCGTCTTTAAAAAGACCAACAATCGAATACGACCGGAGATACAGAACTAAGTAGAACGCTGCTGTTTAGAGAAATATAAATTATCATGAAGACATAGATATATAATAAAATAATTAAATTTTATGGAGATCCTACATTTTTCTCAGATACGCGTAAGATTAACTTCCAGATCGTCTGCTGTCTACATGTCCTTACTTGGAGTTTAAAACCAACTTTAAGTTTTTTTTTTGTACATTTCACACTAAATTGTACAAATGTTTATCATTACTGTAGTTCGCTCGGGAGCTCGTTAAAATCAACAACTGTGTTGATGCTAAATTCGAATTTAAAATTTTGTTAAATTCTACATAAGATGATAGAGTTGCGTCATATTGTGAAAATATATATTTAATTAATTAATCTTATCCGTCTAATCACAATTTAAAATTTAAAATTAAGATATTAAGATATTATTTACACACCTGAAGATGGTTCAACTAAGAACCGAAACATGTAGTGAGAAAAGTGATGTTCCAAATGTAAATCGAATGTTTCGATAAGGAGCATCACATAGTATTTTAACTATCTTAATTTTAAATTGTAATTAGACGGATAAGATTAATTAATTAAATTCTACATATTTGAAATTTGAAATTGTTAGTTCCGTATTAAATGTATTACGACGTCGAATAAAAACATGCAAGAGTATTCAGACCGACAGCAGTTCACGAAATAAGATTTGAGATTTTTACGGTGGTGACTCCGAAGACAACATGACAACATGAAATCTCTAAATGTAAATAAAACTAAAATAACAACCATTCTCAGGGCGCCCTGTTAATCCGTCAGTTACATCCCTACAATAACCGTTTTTATTAAAGAAATAGTAAGTTTGATCTGTCAGTATCATAACAACCAATTGCACGCTGACTGG